CAATTGAAGCCAAAGCCTGTACATGCTGGACCATTATTCTTTTGTGGAGGCACACCTAGGCTAACTAAATTTCTTCACTCTTCATTTTAACCTCTACCTCTCCAACAAGCCAACTACAACAGGAGAGCAATTACAATTGTATGTAACACAATAGATTCATAGAAGGACCAGTAATAACCCATCTTGGTTATATTTGGTGGGCTTCTGTTGCCTATGCTCTATGAAAGGTCGAGAGTTTGTTTTCTGTTGTCATTGTCCACCTAATACTGTTTATGTATGGGTTTTTTTTAAACTTCAGAAAGACATTAACATGTTAGACCTCACTTATAAAACTTGAACATTTATACTAAGGAGGGCCTACAATTAACATATTTTTTCACAAGAAGCCTGCATCTTTGCCAAGACTATTTGTTGATGATCTTAAGGATCTCTCATTTTCTCACTTCCTGCCCCTTTTCTTGTCTTAAAACTCACTGACTTTTAACAATTCATGGTGGAGGAGAACCTCTCCAATCAATACATTCTTCATTTTTAAACATTTTATTTGCGATGTACAGACTTATCCCATGCAATACTTCATTTAAAATCAAATTTGTTCTACTTCCTTTTAAAACTGGCTACTCAATCATATAGTTATGAACTCTAATAATCAATACCTTGTGATGTCTCACCCCTCTCATCCATTTGATCACAATGCCATTTTGATTAATTGTATCTTTTGGTCAAATTTTTTTCACTTTTATCCCTTTCAAAGGATATTCTGCATATAGTAATAAAGTGGGTAAGAGACATGATTACATTAAACAATGTGTGTGATCTTGGGTTTTAGAGGGTAGGTCATTAGTAGGGCACTTGCCTAACATGTTTAAATTCATAGGTTAGATTTTGGGCATCAAAAAAATAAAAGTAAAAATACAAACACACACAAAGGTTAAATATCAAAATATTATATTAAGAAAAATGGTAAGAGAGAGGAAATAAAGTTGGGTAAATATGTGAGTATATGTGTTAACCAACATGCTAATTAGCCAACTTATTCCATCATGCTATACTCAATAAATATGTTGACTTAAAATGTTCACAAGCTTCATATTTTATTATAATTATTAGGGATAAGCAAAAAAGGATGAAAATACTAGGACAGAGAATTAAAAGAACAGGTCAGCTAAACAACAGCTGGCATCTATGACTGTGAAAACAGGTGAGCAGATCTGTCTCATTTTTGCCACAGAACATTATATGACTGACACCTGGTCAAACCTCTACTAGATTTAACATCATCATGTAAAAAGGGCAGCCTTGATGATAGACAAGTTTTCCTGTTTGTGTGTGTGTGTGTGTGTGTGTGTGTGTGTGTGCGTGTGTGTGTGTGTACGGTGCACATTGCATCTAGGGTCATGACACACAGGTGGAAGTCAACACTACTTATCTAGTATAGATAAATCAACATAAATATTAGCAGCTTTCCTTGTCCCTGTGGACTTTACTGTAACACCAAATAGTGTTTTGGGGAAAAAAATACTCCACTTTTTGGTAGAACTGAAAATACATTGAATAGTGGAAAGTGATATGGCAGAATTTTCATTCTTATTTCAACATCTGCTATTTATGACCTGGATTTGGGATTAACTGTTGTGTCTATTGTTTGTCCTGTCCATAGCAATCTCTAAGGAAATCCAGAAAATTCTCATCATTTTTGATGGGCTACCACTTCAAAAAATGAATACTTTGATTTTCTGCCCTTTGTTTTGCTTCATCTTTCTGACCTGAATGCTGCCTGAGTGATCACTTTCAAGCACAGATGTGCTGACAGGATTTCCCTTGACAAACTCTCTTTTTAATGTTTTTTTTTTTCTTTCAGTGTTTAAACATAAATGCCAAAACACTGGCAATGCATATAGTTCTTCTTTTATGTGCCTGTTTTTGACCAATCCTCACACACATAGAGTTGCAGTGGTCTATGTAAAGTTCCTGAAATGAGCCAGGATCTTCTGCCTTTAAATACGTGCCTTGTACCTGAAATGTTGAGTATGTGTCTCCCTCACATAAGCTCCTGAACCACTGAATCCTTTTATGTCTCTTATGTCTCCATTGATTCCACAGCCTGGATCTTGTGTAATATTCACTGGCTTTTAGACTATGTCATGCAACTGTTCTCTCCTGTACTGATTTTATTCCTAGTAGTGAAGATTGTTTAGTTCACTACAATTTGTCATCTTACGTAAAACAATTATGGGGCAGGGAGATGGCTCAGTTGGTAAAAGACCCTGTTATGCAAGTCTGATGACCTAAGTTCAGATCTCAAGAATCCATGTAAAAAAATCACATGTGGTGGTGCCTGTATTTGATTCTAGCAATGGTATGGTGAGAGAGGGGCTGAGAATTGAGAATAACCTAAAGCTCTCCGGACAGCTAGCTGGAATACATAGCACAGTAGCAAACAACAAAAGAGACCCTCCCTTGTGAATAAGGTGGAAGGTGACAAGGTTGACACAAGGGTGTCTTCTAACCTCCAAATGCTCATTATGGCAATATAAACATATTCACAAAATAAATGCTAAAACATAAATAAACATTGCTTTGAAATTTTCACCGATCTAATGTATCTATAAATCCTCAACAGACCATAGTCAACCACTTGATGATCCAACAATACTAAATTATTTGGTGTTCTCTGAATAAGTATTTATTAAGTTTCCTTACCTCTATTGTAAGATTGCTCAGTTCTAATGTACTAGGTATATGCATCAATTTAGTGAGTCTACTATGTCTAATGAATTAATTTATAATTTTGAGAAACTTTATGTATGACTTCCCTTTACATTTGTGTAACATCTAAATTTGATTATTCTGGAGAGAGATGAAATAATTTGTGTGAATGTTTTTACAAAGGAACTCGCTTTCCTAAGAAATGCACTAAAATAGGAAGTTGAGGCTCAGATGATTATTTTTTCCCTCATTCTTTGTGGTCTAGTAGGAGACATGTTCATTTACAAAGTTCCCTTAAAAACCGTCTATTGAATTTGATTTGTCATCTTTCTGTGATAAACCACACCCCACATGTAGCATTCTACCTCAAGCCCACCAGTCCTTCCAGACTGAATCGGGTGCTATGTTAGGGATGTCAATCTACAAAAGGATGATCCTTGAGGTTTCTTAGGGTTCTTTTGTTTATCTGAGAGATCTTTCATGCCCTAAATGAGTTCTTTGAAATGTTTTTGCAAAGACTTATGACACATCCTTGATTTTATGTTTATATCGAAGGGCAAGTCTTTCATTCACAAGTATAGATTTGATCACTTATTTGTTCAAGAGGTTGGAGTTGAGCAATAATTTCATATTCCTGAGCTAATTCTGGGCCCTCTATAGTCCTTTGCATTTTAACTGACTGATTCTTTACTTTTTGTTATAGTAGCCTATCATGTGCACGTATTAAGAATCTACAAAAACATTTCCAGTCTGCCTGGAAATGTCATTACACTTACCCGAAATGTTATCAGATTCATTTTCTCACTTGAAGTTACTACAGGTGGCAACTTCACCAAGTGCCATTCTCTACACCATCGATGGCCTTTTTTTTCTAGCTTCCTATATCACATTTTCAGACTTCAAGACAGGATTTGGAGGATGGAGCTAGAATTGACATGGAAGTCACCCCTGAAGGCTAGATCTCATAGCTTTGGAAAGCACTACACAAACTGCTAAGGGACAGTATCAATCAATGGTCCAACCCAACTTCAAGGCCTAATAACCATATCAATGACTGGCACAGTAAATAACACTGGTGCAGTAGTAGGATCAGTATCGAAAGAAGAAAAGAAAAATGATTGAAACCACAGAGTTCTTACAACACTAAAGTTCATGTGCTTTCGGACAGCCTTTCTATAACAGTGGTCTGTACATTCTGGATTGGGCTAAAAGAAAGTGACTGAAAATATTCTCTAGTGAGAGGACCATTCTTAATAATCTTAGGTAATAGGGAGTTTGAAAAAGACCACACATCCTTGGACAGAATTCTTATATTAACTCCACCCACCCAAGGCTCAGAGACCATCGCGGAAGAGGGGCAGAAAGATTGTAAGAGTCAAGGAGGAGGTGCATGAAGATATGGAAAGAGAGTTCAACAAGCTGCTGGTACCTTGCTCTTATAAACCTATAGCAGGCACAAGACCTATGCAAACTCAAAACAGACAAAACCCTAGCACAGAACTACGGAAATGGAAAACAAACCCCAATCTTAGTCAAAGAATTATTGGCAGCTGATTACTGCTGGAGGAAGAGCTTTAGGCTAACCAGACCCCAGTGGATGAACTTGCACTGAGGGTCATCCTAGGACACTAACTTGACATGATAGGCCTTAACACAAATGACAGAATGTGTGAATTCCAATGGGGTGGGGGACTATCAGAGAGTGCCAGTGTGGACGGGGGTATAAATATGATTAAGATTGATTAAGATGTTCTGTATGAAATACACAAAAATCAATTAAAAATTTGAGAAAAAAAGAAGATTCCATCTTGCAGACAGCACTAGTGATGAAGCCAGAATATAGAAAGTCCTTTTAATGGTGCACATTATTTCTCTGTTGCACTTTCTCTTTTACACTTCAATGGATCATCATTTTGAGAAGCGTGTTTGTCTAAATGCAACAATATGTACTTGCTGAGGTTATAAAATAAGAAGGAAAAGTTGTATATTTTTTTCAGTCCTCTTCTACCTTCATGTCTACTTACAGCCTTCTGCAAAACAAATATATATATAT